GTGGGAGGGGGGTGCTGCTGAAAGAGGGGGTGCAGGGGCAGGGGGTGCTCTGCACGGGGGGAAGCACAAGAGGGGCTGCACAGAGCAGGGAGCTCTGCGGGAATCAAAGGCCCCAAAGCACGGTCGGGGGTGCCAGGGGACAGGAGGATGTGAGCGGGGACAGGAGGAGAGCGGGATCCGCGGCAGGGGCTGCTGCTCTCGGGGGGCAGAGGGGGCTCTGCGCTGTCCCAGCAGGAACAGGGGGTGCCCAGCCACGCTGTGGGGAGCGGCCCGGCCTGGGGACAGGCACAGCTCTCTGAGCAAAGTGCCTGCTGTGTGTGCTCCTTGCAGAGAGCCTGCTCCGCCTGTCCTCGGCGTGCAGGGGACAGCTCTGGGCCGGGGGCTCCGGGGGACAGAGGGGGCTGGGGGCCGCTGCTCTGCAGCACCGAGGGGCTGCCCCCCCGTCCCTGCTGAGGCCGTGCCCTTCTCCCCGGTGACCGCTTGCTCTGAGTCACCAGGAAATCTGATAAGGCTCCAGTGAAACCTCGGGAGCAGCGGGGGGGTCGCTTGGCACTGCGGCCACCCCGATTTCTTGGCTGTCCTCCAACATCCTGGCTGTCACACGTGCGTGACCGGAGCAACCCGAACGGGTTTTTACCTGCTTTACTGCCTAAACTTTCGGAGCCAAGGGGCCTTTTGGTGAAGATGCAGCCCCTGATTCTTGTGGGAGCTGCGTGTGGGGAAGGCACGGGCCCTTTCCATGACATGTGGCAGCAAAGCCTCGAGCTTTGAAGGTGGCCTTTGCTGGTTTGCATCCCTTGCAGTCTTGCTTTGAGCCTCCCGAAGCGCCAGCGGTCAGAAGGCTGCAGGGAGTGCGGCGGGCAGGAGGGGAGCCTGTGGCAGCTGCGGGCTGCAAAATCACCCCCAAACGTGACCCATCCATTAAAGCACATCGTCAGCCCCAGCAGGAACCCGCTAGGTGTGTCAATTCCTCTTTTCCGTTTGGCCGTGTGCTGGGTACTCGAATTAATCTGTTTTACCAATTAAGCAAGAAACCCTGAGCGTTTCCCCTTCTGAAGGGCTTAGTCATATCTGGGTGAGCAGCCTGAGCGGGGATGCAGCTGGGGATGTTTGGGCTGAGCAGGCCTGTGCTCTGGCAGCGGGAGGCTCCGTGAGGCAATCCAGAAGCTGTTCCTGGAGCCTGGGACAGGCACGGTGCTCCTGAGAAAGGACCAGGCTGGGTTTGACTCCCTCCTGGTGCCGGGATCAGCCGTGCTGGGGATGCAGGGGGTACAGGGGATGCAGGGGATGCAGGGGGTGCAGGGGGTGCAGGGATGCAGGGGGTACAGGGATGCAGGGGTACAGGGATGCAGGGGATATAGGGGATGCAGGGATGCAGGGGATACAGGGGATGCAGGGATGCAGGGGATGCAGAGGTGCAGCATCCAGGGGAGGCCTCGTGGCTCTGCTCCTGCTGCTCTGGGTTGGACAGGGACCTGTCAGCCTGCTCAGATTTGGTTCCTGCAGATTCTCGGCCAAGAGGAAATTTCCTTGCTCTGGCCTGACCGTTTTAACCTGCAAACAAATAAACAAATCCCAGTCCAGCCGCAGGTGTCTGCAGGACAAACCATTTGCAGGGTAGGATCTGTGGCTGTGAAACTGCATTTGCACCCTGGGACATCCTAACTGTGGCACAGGGTGTAAAATTGGACTTTGTGTGTGTGTTGTGGGGTTTTTGCACTGAATTTCCTTTTTTTTTTTTTTTTCTTTTCCTGTGTAGCATAGGCTGAGGACAGAAGAGGAGACAGGTATTTATTGAAATGCCTTTTAAAATTAAAAATAATGAAAAATGCCTTTTGTACTAAATTTCAGCACTGTAAAAAGGGCAAGCCCTCAGGCAGATTCATTCCTTGCTCCCTGTGCCTGTCCTTGGAGCAGCCACAGCCCTGTTCCTCGGGGATCCTCTCCAAGGTGTGGTGCTCCTGCAGGAGCTGTGCTGCTGGCAGAACACCTTGGTGGCAGTCCCCAGCTTTCAGACCCCATCAGCAAACTCCAGCTCTGACAGCCAGAACAGGCAAGTCCCCCTGGCTCCAGCCCTGCCATTCCTGGCACCAGCCTGAGAAAAATTCCAGCTGCCATGGCCCAGTTTTGTCTCCACCAGCAAGGAAAACCTCCATGTCAAGGGCATCTGAAGCCTGCCTGATTTTCTGCGTGGAGCTTTGGGTCCCCATGGAGATGGCATCTGAGAAAAGGAGATAAAACCCTTTTGTGAGGATGGATCCCGATTATTATTTGTTTAATTAGAACCTGGACTGATGCAGAGGCAACAATTAACAATTTCCTTCTGTAAAGGACTTTGACCACAGCTGAGTAAGTGAATGGCTTGCAAGATGGAGACAAATGATTGCAGCTGTCATTTGTGAGGCTGGAGGTGCAAGGAGGAGTCCTGAAGTTTCTGATTCAAGGGGCTTTTCCTCCTTCTTTTGGAAAAATCCAGCAGGAATTTTCTCCTGCCGCGCAGCAGGGATTGCCTGGGAGCCAGGGAATTAAGTTCCAGATGAAAATTTAAACTGTTAATTACACTTTCCTAGCAGACTCCGGGAATGTCTAATAGCGGAATTGCAGGGAGGTGGCTCAGGTGAGCTTTGATTCCTTTCACACACCTGCCCTCCTTGGGAGCGCGGCTGGGCAGGCCAGCCTTGCTGCTCCTCGGTGTCCCCAGGGCCGGGTGGCCGCAGGCCGAGGCCAAGGGAGGGGTTCTGCAGACACTGCCAGCCCCCGGCCCCTTCCTCTTTATTTTATGGCTTTATTTTCTGGGCACGCGCGGGCTCGGGGCTGCTCGGCAGAGCTGCTGGCAGCTGGAGCGTGCAGGGGCTCGGTGCCCGGCCCGGGGAGCCACGGGGGTCCCGGGGGGCAGCAGGGACCTGGGGGAGCCCACGGGAGGGAAAGGGATCATTGGAAAGGGTCTGGAGGGACGTGTCCAGGGGCCGGAATGGCCGGATTCCAGCTGGAATTCTGAGGTGCCACCAGAGGCAAGTGTGGCTGGTTTGACAGTGCCAAGTGCCTCCTGCAAACTGACATCAGGAACCTGGCCCGGTGAGTTTTGTTTCCCAGGGAAAAGGGAAAGGACAAGGAGGAGTAGCCGTAAGCTGGTGGAGTGTAAGCTGAGATTGGATTTTGGGAAGGAATCCTTTTCTGAGAGGGTGGGCAGCCCTGGCACAGGTGCCCAGCAGCTGGGGCTGCCCCTGGATCCCTGGCAGTGCCCAGGCCAGGCTGGACAGGGCTGGCAGCACCTGGGGCAGGGGAAGGTGTCCCTGCCATGGCCGGGGTGGGACAGTTCCTTTCCAGAACCATCAGCTCTCTCTTGACCAGGCTGGACAAGCTGAGTGACGTCAGCCTATGCCTTCCTGGTTTTCCCCGCAGGCCCTTCCCCATCCCGGCCGGTCCGAGCCGCTCAGGAGGCTCTAACCCGCAGATTTGGGGCAGGGCACCAGGCGGCCATCACTCCCCCTCCTTGACTACATCTCCCAGCAGCCCCCTCGCGCCACCGCGCTCCCGCCCCCTCAACGCCGATTGGCGAATCTCCCATGGTCAGCCTCCTCCCTTTCCATTGGCTCCCTGAGCTGTCCGTTCCGGCGCGGCTGCAGGCAGGAAGGGGCGGAATTCACGAACGGGATTTACGCCTTTTGCGCGGGGCGTGGCGCGGCGGCGCGCGGGGTGGGGGG